AATTGCTTGCCTACTCCTACAACATCTTATTTCTACGTATTCGTGGAAGATTATAGAAAATATTCAACTTTTACATGAATGCAAAAAGAATCGCGATGAACATTTACTACAAGTTATTGCTTAATCTTAAGTCGAAAATGACGCAATCGATTCAGTACTTTTGCGAGCAAATCAAGATGCTGATGGTGAATATGATATTAACAACAGCGATCTGCTATTTGAACTACTAGGAAATTTAGACGACTACACAACCACTACGGCCAATGCGAACAAAAATCAACAGAAAATAAATATATTGAAGAAACTATTGAAGCAGTCGAAAACGTCGGACGATTTAGTCACATGAATTGTGAGTATGACCAATTGTATGCGTTGCTCAAGACACTTGTAACAGCAAACCAATCGAAGATCCAACATTAATAAAAGCAACCTATTAGAACTATTCGATAGTAAGACTGAACATTTACCTGGGCTATTACCTTTTGTTCCTGGAATGCCTGTTATTTTAACACAAAACATTGCTATTGAACTGGGTCTTATGAACGACATTAATGAAATCCTTCGACAACTAGTCTATCAGCTCGATTCTATGTCAACAGATGTTCTATCACAAGCATTTCCAAACTACACACAATATGTTCATCGGCCTTTATATGTATTGATTGAAATTTCTCGATCGAAAATTGAATGCAATCTTGAAGAACTCCAACCAAAACTCGCCCCGATACCATTAATGGAACAAACACTGTCAAATGAAATGGACGACATTGCTGCAGTTTATGTACCTTTATCACGTGTAAAACATTTGGCTGATCTTATTATTTTACGCCAATTCGATTACAAGGTTTTGTTTATCAAACCAAATAAATCACAAATCCTCGAAATAGAAGACTCGATAAACTGTATTTAGATACACAAACGCATTTTCCCGATTGGTTTCAATGATTTTTTTCTGCAATGTCTTGTACATATGAGCGTTGTTCTTATATGGCTAACCATACTGTTGAATTATATGTGCTAGATATAGATATCTGCTTGTTTTTATATCTATTTTATTGTTCGGTTTGATTATACATTGAATATATTTGTCGCATATGATTGCTCATAAAAGTTTCAATATAGATGTTCTGTGCTGTGCTATAATGCTAAATCATGGTACTCATAGAATCATTCTATATGATCATGCAACTAAAACAAATGCATATATTTGACTAAAAGGATGTTGGTAAAAAGCAATCTTATACTTGATGTTAGGGTTACCCTTATTTCTCATTTTGATATGAATATATTTTCTGGTTGAGCTACATAGAGTGCAATCAAAAATAAACAGGAGCACTCAATATCAAATTGAAAGCAGCATATCTCATATTATTGTCATTGTATGAAAAAGTGATATTTGTGTCATGAAACGACTTTATAAGTTAATTTAGATTTGAGTTCCCACCGTTTTCCGTTATCGATAACTTTTCATTGAAAAATTAATCTTTCTATTAGTTTTTAACTGAAGAACTGAATACAGTTTTTTAAATACCACAATTAACAAAGAAGAATTCTAGGAAGCTGTTTTTGGCAGCACCTTGTTTTAGAAATTAGTCGATAGCAGTGCTAATTGAATTCTGAGATTCACTATAAGTCTAAACTTACTATAGTATTATACTATTATATATCATAATAATAGAACTGTAACCGATACCTGGCTTTAACTGACATTGGTACCAATTCCATCAACAAGACAAGATAGAGTACAAGTAGTCTTAACTATTCAATTCAGTCGAGTGTCAAGCGAGTACAAGCGACGAGCGTTACTTGTATCGTCTAATAGAACAGAGTAAATTATCTCGAATTGATTCAAATTTTGTTGAAAATTTTAGTAATCATGCTAGAGATCTTAAGTCACCTAACGAGTCCCTTTAGCAAGGTCGAAATCGATTGTGGTTGCTTCGATCACACTCACACCCACACCCTCAAAACATGCGAGAAAATACCTTTGCCTGAGGGTGGTCTGTTACACGCAATGACTCAGTACCTATTCGAAAAGTGGGTTTTGAAGAGTTTTATATGTTGAAAGCAGTGCTCGAGATTCATGGGGTAAGCGTGTGAGTGGTGAGGTAGTTTAGATGCGTAGGTGAAATTTCATGTTTC